AGTCACACTCCCTTACCCTGCTTGCTCATCCCCAGCATGTGTGAATAGAGCTGCTGGAAGGGGAACTGGGTGAGCAGCGAGATCAGATCCTCCTCACAGAGCAACAACCAGCTGCTGTCTGGGTCCTCATCCTAAACACAGAAAGGAGAGAAGGCAATGACCACATACTCTTTTAAAGTTTATATATATATATATATATATATATGAGATTCTGAACATTTATAGCAGCAAACTACTATTTGCTATTTAAGATATAGTGAAGTAATGGCACCCTGAGCAGAGAGTGGCATCATGCTCCCTCTGTCTGTGCTCTTATCACAGCCTCTCTGTGCATTGTTTATACCGCTCGTCCGGCCCAGAGTGCATGTGAATCCTTCAATGGGAAAATGAGGAGAGTGTGAGGAGAGCGATAGAACGACGTTTTTAAGGTTGTTTTTCCTGACCAAACCAGAGATGGTGATTGTTGGAATAGTGGAAAGACTTTATTTAGTGTCTGACAGGTTTGAATGAAGTGTGTTTTACGAGTATCTGCAAGGTAAAATTACTGTTTTTCTGGTGGGCTGTGGCGCCCATTTGTTTTGGACTAAGATGCTGGTGCTCTACTGTAATATTTAGTGGGTGTGAATGTTGCATGCAGCACCTTTAAGAGAATGAGTAATTACAGATCTGTTAGATCAGATCTTTAACAGATCTTTAAAGCAAGATGCAAATGAGATGCTTCTTAGTTTTTATAAATGGTAATAAGACCATTGTATCAAAAACATTATGTAACACTTAAATTACAGTATCTTTAAATGTTACTGCTTTGCAAAATAATATGCTTCTTGAAGTTTCTCAAAACATAGTGACACATTAGTACTGACAGCAATTGTGGTTTTAAGCCTAATCAAGCAAAGCTAAATCAAGTTTTCAACTTGCACTCACGTAGACTGGTTAATTGCTTTTTCCTTTCACTTTTCCATCCCATAGACACACCTGAAACATACTAACTTACCCATATTTTTTTAAAGGCAACTCTTTGTTTTGTGTAAGTTTTGTTTCTTTTCTTCAAACACAGTCATTGTCTCCTTTCACATACCTCTTCTCCCCCTTCATCCACCAGTGTCCAGTTGCCAGACTCAGGTCCAGAAGCTGCTGAGCTCTGGCTCTCACATGGCTTCAGATGTCCCAGAAACTCTGCACGGTGTCTGAGGCAAAACATAGAAGCCACTGGTTAGAGATGTGAGGTTGTTTGACCTTGAAAGGATGACATGGATTCTCATGGAAAACCAAAGACATTAAGCCAGAGCGTACAGTTCACAGACAGCAGGTAAGAAAGAGTAATCGCTAAAGGGGTTCCTATATTTACCTGGCAGGTGACATTAGGATGGCCAGAGCTTGCATGAATTGCTGCACTCCACATGTGTTCCTCCAAACTTGGATCTGAGGCAGAAATTGGGAAGAAAACTCCAGTTTTTTTGTACAACCATGACAACAATAAATCAAATGCCGTGTTCCTAACTAACCTGAAGGAAAGGTGCAGCCCACTTGCCAACCCCGGCAGAACAGCACAGAAGATGGCATAGCAGGTACAGGTGCTCTCCTGACCCTCCAACATGCAAGAGGACAGCCACCTATTGAGTAAACCAGACCCATGTTAGAAACACAACAACAAAATACCTCGACCAACATGGAGTAAGAAAAGTGGTACAGTGTGTGTGTGTGTGCGTGTGTATACCAATCTCTCCAGCCAGTGATGGATGTCTGTTTGGAACTGTGCGTCATCCAGGACTCTACGTGTGAAGCTAAACAGGACGCTGATAGCCTCTTTCAAGGGTTGGAGAGAACAGGGCTGTGTTTGGCTGCTGGAACAATCTGATAACAAAAACATAAGTAAAACTGATGTAGGGTGTGTACTTAATATTATTATTATGCATGCTGTTGGTAACAGGCAGTTTAGGGCCATTTCAATTTAATAACAATGTGTAAGTGTCTCACCTTTTAGTAGACGATACAAGTATGATTCCACCTGAAGGCGTGACAGCAGGGCAGTGTACGCATGTAGCGCCACCTTTTGATGGAGCAGCTCACTGCGAGCTTCAAACAGTTTCCTCAGCTCAGCCAGCACACTCTGACTGAACTCTGCCTGCTGGAAGCGATGGTACCCACACACCTTAGACTGATCTGCACACACACCCTGTAAGAAAGAAATTGTATTAAAAGTGTCATTACAGAAGAGGACCATTACTTAATAGTTTTCTCTACACACTTTGCTGCTTTTTTTTTTAAAACTACCACACCTGAAGTGTAAGCTGTTCATCTCTGAAGCTCCAGAGACGATTCTGTGTGCTCTTGCAATCAGAGGACTGTGTATGCAGCTGTGTGTGTGACTGGGTCAGCTGTCTACGACAGCGCCAGTAGTTATGCAGCAGTTCGGTCAATTCATGGTTCTCCTGCCGGGCTAGAGCACAGAACTGGGCAGCACACACTTCAACACCCTCTAACCAAGCTCGCAAACCTCCGCCTGGCTCCCAGGTACTCAGCTGCTCCAGTGAGAAAGACTGCAGAAGAAAGACATGAGGTAAGAGAGTTTATTTCATATATTAATGAATGCAAATATGTTAGGGCACGATGAATGTAGTCACATAATAACTATGTTATTATCTGGATCTGGGCAATATTAACAAAATCAAATATTACAATATTTGTACATTCATGTTTATATGGATGGATATGGGTGACAAGTACACTAGGGGCAATTGTTATTATAATGTTAGCTTGTCAATGTTATTTTACTCATGATCTAAATACAAATTACCTGCATAACATTACCTTAATTTCTGGAGCTGTCTTGGGTAATTCTGGGTAGAGTTTGCTGCTTGAAAGTTCAGCTACAGACTCCAGAGGCTGCAAATTTAGAGGGGAAGATTCCTGCTCAGGAAGTGCCAACACTGCAGGTCCCTTTTCCCTATTCTTCACAGCTTCTTCACACAGCTGTAGCATGGGGACTTCCTCTAGTGTTGGAAGAGATGGGTAAAGTGCAGGGGCACTCGGGGCATTTGGGATCTGAAACTGAGTAATAACACAAGGCTCCTTCCATTTCTGTGTGTCTTTTACCAACTCGGTGGTCTGTGCTGCAAGTTTAAGCTCAACCAATTGATCTGCCACTCCGCCATCCTCCTCTATTAACTCTGATAGATGCACTGTAGCCTGTGACGTCAGAGTTGACTGTAAAGTATTAGTTGACCCTGATGTGGATAATTTATGTGATGAGGAGGTCTGCTGTTCCTCAGAGGGTAGATCTGATGGCTGTGCTGTGGTCTCAGGGGGCTGAACAAGGTCCTGCAGCACCTCCTCTGGCTCCTGATATGGAAGACTGAGGGGGATGTCTGTGAAGCCAGAAGTGGAGACCTCATCACAGACAGCGGAGGGAGCTGTGGCTCTCTTGTCTTCCTCTGCCTGCTTTTGCTTTCTGACCAGCTGAAAACATAAAACAATCACAAATAAAATAACATTTTCTTTCTTCACTGAGCTGTCCAGTCTCTGCTGCCCTAGGTTTCTCAATGTAATAAAGGCATGTGACTACGCAACAAACACTATGATGAACGTGGCAAAAAAGTATGATGTCTCAGCAAAGTGTACCAGTGATTACTTTTGTCATTTCAAATCAAACTTTTTGGACCCTAGACTTCCACGTTTTGCAGTCTCCTCCCAACTTCTGACCACATACAAGTATGCTGGATTAGATACTCTAAATCGTCAACAGTGGGGAGGAGTGTGTTGGTAACCATCTGGAAATACCCTCTCTGCCTCAAGAACAATATTTTTTAGACCTTCCACCAAAGGTAAGAGCGGAAGAAGGCGAAGAAGGACTGACTCGGTTTAATTACCTGAGATTTTCCGCTGTTTTTTGCCTTGGTCTTCTTTGGTCTTACAGCCTCCATCTTTAGTGTCTGCTCACACCAGCCTTTTCCACAGGTGTCTGCTGGTAAAAAGGATGCTGAACGTCTGAAAACGAACAGTCCTAATGTAAACTAGACACACACAAACAGCAACCATACGCTGGAAAAGCTAGCGATGTGATACGCAGCTAGTAACTGGCTGTGTTGCGAAGACTAACACTTGTCACCGATTGTAAACAAAACACTCAGGTATGGCCCGTCGAGAAAAGTCGCAGGAAAAGGACAGCAAAGCAACGACTAGCATGTCTCCTAGCGTAGACATAAAATCCATAGCATACATTTTATTTAAACAAAACCAGCGCATGCTTTAATTTCCGATTAAACTACTTAACCTGTACTACACTACTGAAGACGCTCGACCACTGCTAAGCTAAGCTAACGCCTAGCTGTGTACTTGTTACGCTGCCTTTCTCCTCAGTAATTTATTCAGCAGCGGCTCTGAGTTCCACATTGTCACTCAAATGATCAAAATAAGATTTAAACAAGTCGAAGCAAGTGACATGTGACAATAACCCTGTGACAGCTATGTCTGCGGGTCCGCTGTCATTTGTTTTGTTTAGTCCAGGAACTCAGCGATCACAATCTTTGATCACGTGACTACTCCACCCCTCTACGGAAAGTCAGAGAGCCCAAATTGTATCTTAGGCTCGCACGCACACACACACACACACACACACACACACACACACACACACACACACAAAAGTCATAACTTTAAGGTCCCAGAGAGAAATGACTTGAGTGTTTAGTTAGTCTTGCAGATCACTCTAGTAGTAAACTTATGCTTAGTACTGTAAACCAGCCTTCTCCAGTTTAGAGTTGTTTTAATGAAAATGAACTCAAAAGTTAATCTATTCTGTGATCTGGTGTCATGGTTGTTCACTCCAATCTGAACTAAGGTGATCATTCAAGAAAGATAGCCCACAAAATAATAGGTTACCTAAGTACATTACAATTAATACATTCTCAATCATGTATTCTGTAATGGATCATGCTTTTGTGTGCCTTACAATTTCCAACAAAGCACAGGCAGGTCATGAGTAACAAACAAATATTTATTTACAAAATGTACAATGATATCTTAAAGATTTCCCTTTAAATGTAGGCTATTAATTTCCTTGATACGTACAGACATAAAAGCTACTCACTGATATTTGTCAAATAAATGTGTGTCACACTCCTAACAGACTCTCTGTCTCATAGCATCCAGCCAACATGTCACAGACACGTAAGTCGGTATTCTGTGTTTCCATTGAGAAAGTAGAAACGACAGATGACATGCTAGACAGAGAAGGAGACAGGAAGAGTGAAGCATAGAGGAGTACTGACTGAGTTGCTGGTATGTGAAGCAGTTTGTAAGCTATATCATTTAAAAAGACTACTTAATTGAACATACATAAAAACTAAGGCATTAAAGTACAATGCTCTTCATACAAAAATAGATAGATGGTCACTGCTACATTTCAACTAAACTTCCTGCTGATTGATATAAATCATTTGAATGCTGTATTTCTTGTGGTTACAGATGCATCTTTATGTATAGTCACAAAAGAGTGTTAATATGGTCAGAGTATTATTAATACACAAATTAACACATTTGTACAACTCTCGCAGTTACCGAACTCTTACAAAACCTAAAGACCATGACCATGATGGATATTTTCTTTTTCTCCCAAAGAGATATCACATTTTGAGTGGCAGACTTTTAGCTTATTCACAGAGTCAAATGACAACTTTTATTGTCTGTCCTGTGCTTTCTGCTTCAGTCTATCCAAAGGTATTTAAAGGCACATAAGTCTGCTGTGAGCACGTTGAAGGACTGTTGGAGGGTGTGTGTTTGCCAGAGGTTTGACGGACTGTTTGCTTTGTGTCTTTATGGAGGGTTGGTGAAGGACTGCAGGGTGGGGTTATCTGGATTTCTGTGCCCTGGCTGCGTAATGTGTGTAAAGGAAGTTGTTCTAGCTTGTATGTGTGACTTAGCACCTGGTTGAAAGCCTCAGGTGTGTGGTGAATGCAAGCCTGACTCAGAGCCAAGCTGAGGATCTCTGTCTTCTCCTTGTAGAAGCGCAGCTCTGTGCCTCGGCGCCGGGCTAACACCAGCTCCCTCTGTGCCACCTGCAGCTCCTCCCCGAGTCGCCCAGGTGACCTCTGCTCCCGCCCGAGCCAATCCAGAGCCAAGCTGCTGCGCATGTACTCATCAAGTCCTCGCTGGGAGTAATATGAAATCACACTCTGAGGGGGAGAAAGACAATAAGCAATCATCATTATGTAGCAGCAGAGATACTGATATTTTATCAAAGTTCTTGGCAAGATCTGCACCTGTCGAGAGCACTGCCTTTCCCTCAGAGCCTTCAGTGTCCCGTTCCAGTGCAATAACTGAAAAACTGTCATCATCTCCTATAGAGAGAAATAGAGGTGGAGAAAGTGGTTGAGCATGAAACAGACGTGCAAACCCATAAGTAATGACTTCAATAACAAACCCAAAGATGCAGCTCTGTGTACGTATGTCTGACAAAGATAACATATTATGTGCATATTTCTTGAACCCACGCCTAAACTGTGGATGAATGGTTTGAAAGGATATTGTAAATCTTTATGCAGCAGGTAGGTTTCACCCTGATTTATAAAACAGTGTCAGTGACATTAGTGTTAAACAGAGAAAGTCCATACATTAACTGAAATTGATCCAGTGAGACAAACATGGAAAATATGACACGTACTTTGTCTGGGGGTTGAAGTCCATGTTGGCCTGTTTACTCTGTTTCCAGCTGTACATCTGCCCTATGCTACTTGTTCATCTGCCTCTCTACAAAACTGTCCGATGAATCCTCCATTGACTGTGTGCAGAAATTATATTGACTGAGGCATAGATATGGTTTATGCTGTGTGTGCAGAGATTTGAATAAATACATTTCAATGTCTGTGTATGTACGTGTGCGCACAGATGGGAGTGTGTGTATTACTTGGAAGCTCTTCATCTCTACGAGCCATGCTTTAGCAGGATAATGAACCCATTTCCTCCTACTAATAGCCCTCTGTCTGCAGACATATGCTTATTTACACAAAGACAGAAATATTAGGTGTTGCATACCATGCTCTGGGACTAAAGAGGCAAAAACACAGCTAGGGGTGTAATGATAACAATGGAGGGTAGAATTACCAAACAGTGCTTGTGATTTTTGTTATGTCTGGCTTAATAATTCCTAATTATGTAAAATGAGACTGCTTTAATTTGTGGTCCAAATACACTTATTTAAGATCCTTTAGTGCAAAGTAATACTTCACAAACCCTGGAGCCTTTGAAGCAAATAGATCTTTCACACGATTACCACATGACCCCACATGATTTATGAGCACAGTTACAAGAAAAACTGCATTTTGCCATTAGGCCTTAGCTTTGTTTTACCTGGAACTCCAGCATGGTCCTTCCCATGTAGGAGTGGAGCAGCAAACTGTAGGTCCCTATACTGGTGCTTGAATCACATGAATCTTCTATAGAGACCTTTGGAGAGAAAACAGTGCAGGTCAGCATTCATGTTGGGACTAAACACTCTCCTGCTGTGTCATTCCTATAGTCTGGCTTGTAACAAGGTGTGTTAATGTGTGTCTGCACTGGCTCACACTCACAGCACTGTCTGTGGCTGCCTGCTGCAAACTCTGAGTGATGAACTGAGGGTTGATGCGCCGACACGGCAGCTCGTTTACAAGCGAGTTCATCAGAGCCACACGGGCTGCATCCCTCCGAGCCTCTGCCTGAGTGTCACACACCTGGGGATGAGGAGATGATGAACGTGAAGGATTTAAAATGTCAAAAAAAAAGAGCACAAAAAGAGAGGGAAAAGATGTGACGGTCTGCTGATGACCCAAATTCTGTAATTGGGCACCCACTCTTAGTTCCATTTTGATGATTTTACACTTCATTGTAGCTTATCACGGGATCTGAACTCAAATCACCAATGAGATTAGGACATTAGAGGCATTCACACATAACCAATCACATGCCTCCTCTGAGCTGTGGGTTGCTGTCTGGGTCACAATGAGCCCTTTGAGAGGCATTTTGGAATTTAAATGGAACAACATCAATTTAAAACAACCTTTCAATACACACACTTTTGTGTGTGATTGTGTGTTTATTCCCACTGAATGGCCTTCAAGTTTTTCTTGTAAAGCCCTTACCTCTGAATGTGACTTAGTTTGATTATTTGGCTATTTTACTTCATAGTTTAGATAAGAGCTATTTAGTGTTGCTGCAGCCAAATGAAGAGAAGCATTTACAGATTAAAAACTACAATTACCATCTTACCAACTGTATGTGTAGTAACTAATATTTCATTTGAAACCGCCACACTAGCCATTCCCACAGAATAACAAACTGTAAGTGGATGGCGTGCTTTTATTGTATTAATAAGTGAATTTACAGTTTCCACTCTCTCTGCAATTTAACCATCAAGACAGAAACATCACTTTCATCATGTATCTTAAAAATACCAGCATTTAGCTTACGTTTGGTCAGGTATGTGTACTCACTTCATCATTGTGATATTTCCAACTGCACTTGAAGGATAACAGTGTACGTTCTCATTGACACAGTGCAGGCATGTTAGATTAACTAGCAAGTGTAGACATCATGCCAGACAGCACTGATGATGATAAACACACCTTAAAATTGCCAAAGCAGCTTCCTCCAGGCAGGGTGACGTAGCAGACATATGGTGGACCAGGGGAAGGTGCAGACTCGTACAGCAGCAAGCTCTCTGTCTGGATGGCTGCGTCCCCAACAGAACCATCTGATTCACTGGAGGAACCATTTAATGGACTCATCTGCCTCTGCTCCCAGAAGTTATGGAGCATGGCAACTACATTCACTGCACACATATAGGAAGGACAAATGTCAAATGAAGACTGACAGTACTGAAAACATGCGTGACCACAACAGAACAGAAAGTTTTGGAGTGTAAATGGATGGGCATTTATCAGTTGTGATTGACTTTTAATATGTAAAACATTTTGATAACTCTTATGTGTTATCATCAGAAGTGAAAGGTTTCTTTTAGCCTCACTCTGAGAACATATGTAAATATGTGAATAAATGTTAACCTAAATATCCAAGCCAGACAATGTTTATTTAAGTAGAATTAGGAGCTGTAAGCACCACCCCATAACTTATAAAAATCAGCATTTTGTAACCCTTCGAGCATTTTGTGATCCTGTAATAAGTTTAAACCTTTCCTGTGTCCTTCACTGTGTGCCAAACAATTCACTTCAGCTCAGTCTTTGGCAGCAGGGATAAATTGGCTGTCACTTGCTGTAAGCATATTTTGCAGGAAATATAACAAAGTTTTGATAAAACAGTGACTTGCTGTCCTGTTTTATTTTTAATGCATCAATGTATGGTCAGTAGTTAACACAGATGTCAGTTGTAACAGTTTGATTCTTATACCTGAAACAAAGATGTGTCTATTTCCTGTTGAAACTAACATTTCTAAGAAGTTTCTCTCAAAGTTTCTCAGTTACTCACAGTCTTTGGGGCTGGTGTCAGTCTCGCTCTGTGACAGGTATGACATGATGCTCTCCTCCATTTTCACTTTACTCATCCTGTTCCAGCGTTTACTTCCACAGCGGCCTCACATTCAGGCCACTTTTGTCATCAAAATAGCACACATGGCCCTAGAAATGAGCAACCACCACCGTCATTGCAGCTCGATATGGGAACATCATAAGGAATAAACTCAAAATCTGAAACCCCCTCCACTCTTTTCATTTCTCCACCTCCTAAACCCCATTTCTCCCCTCCTCCTCCTCTCCTGTGTGAACATCTCAACAGGGTTTTTCTTTTGAAGCGGACCACCTTTGTCACCATCGCTGCCAATTAGCTCAACGGGCCCCTCACTCTTTCTACACATGCACACACACACACAGAGGTGCAAAGCTGGAATGCTGAGCCCCTCCCCTCGGGCTGTGCAGCTGCCTAATCCCTGAACAGACCCGGAAAGTTAAAGACCAGCACAAAGTTGCCAAATTGAACCACAAACGGCACAATGTCCATCTTGAGAAACAGGAATAATATGAATTGTTGTGTAGAAAACCTGGTACATTACTGGGTGCTGCTTTTTCTATGAAATACCCTCACCATCTAGGATCTACCCAACATGTAGTGTCTAAGATGTGTGGGGGTGGGATACTTTTGACTTCACACACTAGTTTAAGCCCACGGAGGCCAGACTCTGAGCTCCATTCAGCCTCTTCAATATGAATGGCCATTGTTCAAGTCCGAATTCACCCGCACTCTGAAAGCCTCCTACACTTAATTGAACCAAATTCTGAGAAAGAAGTGGTTTCCTGGCTCCCAACTCTCATCTTTTACATGTCATGCCTCACTCCATATCAAGTCTTGTCAGTGTGACACAGCCAAGAGGTGTGGGTCTATTTCCTGCACCTTTTTACATTGAATGTATTGGCGTGTTCAGGCGCATTTATGTTCCCACACACTTGTGCCAGGCTCAACTTTTTTTTGATCGGTTGCTCGGAGGGTTGAGGTAGCAATCTATTCAAATTACCATAATAGTTGAAGCTCTCCGAACCAGTGGAGTTCAGCATAAATAAAATTTCTTTTGTGGCCATCTTGGAGGTTGATGTGAGTATCAATTAAAAAGAATGCACTCACTTGACAAGTAAACACTTTTGGCATAGGTGCATAAAAAAAAAAAACTATTTAATTTTACTCATTCGTTAAACCATGTTAAACTGGTCATGATTGGCCAGTTTAGCGATGAATAAACAGAGAAAAACACACAATGTTTAAATGGTTTATTATCAAACGGCTTCATTATAGTAATTAGTTGATATATACATTAGACTGTACGTTGAACATCATGGTTCATTAAAGTTCAATTAGAAAAGTAGTAAGAAGTTTCATCACTCTTCTCTCGTGTAACAGTTGAGTAGTTGCGCTCTCTCTTGCTGAATTCTTCCATCAACTATCACCTGTTTCCAACTCTCCAGACAAAAGAGCAGAGGAACCATACAGCGTGCATGTTAATCAAACAAAAAGCATGTTGCAATTCTGTTTGTTCATCACTGCAGTTCCATTTATCCCCAGAAGGAGGCGCTCTCCAGACTAGACTTGATGTTATTTTGGTTCTCTCTCCTGGATTTGGTCACCAAGTTGGCCTCTCCCTTCTGTAGACGTCTCCTCTGTGCTGCCTTCTGCTGTTTGCTGAGCTGCTTCCGCACCTTCTGACGGACTACCTCCTGCAGCACACACAAACAAAAACGACAGCAGGTTGCAACAGATGAATGTCTGTGTTATGGTGTCTCTAGGTCACACTCAGTGCAAACACTATGTGAAAGCTCTTGAGCAACATCTACAGGACATTCCAGTTTTTCTCCAAAACTGTGTATTAGGACTGCTACAGTGAAATGGTGAAATTTCCAAATTGTAATCCTTTGAAGTGATCACCTTAATCAGAGTGTTTGTATTTCGTAATCGCACTGTATTAGTGTGGCTCACTGTCCCCTTCACCCTGTGCGTGTCTGTGTTTTACTTACTGGTGGTATGGTAGAGCAGCTCCCTATGCTGCCCATTGTGGCCTCACTATCCGTCCTCCTCCTACTGTGTTCTGCCATGTGTAGAAGACTGTCTGAGTCTCTGCAGGAGAAAACAGAGAAAAAAAATCAGTTGCTATTACGAGACATTTTTCAACAAAGCACAAATTCATTGTTGGGGTGATTTTTAACAACCCTGCGTACAATGACACAAATTATGCCTTATTTTTGTCAAATTCAAAATCATTTAATGTCATTTATCAAGGTTAGAGGCATTCCTATTAACAGACCTACATTTGTTTGTTTGCTCTGTAGGTGGAGTGTTCAAACTTCATCATCTTATCAATTGTGCTTTATTTTTGATAATGGATTATTTCAACTTTCCATTGTGTTTACCTGAAGGGTTTGAAGTCTTTGTTGGAGGTAGAAAGGTCTGCGAGCTCTGGACACTCATCCTCTGCCTCATTCAACTCTTCCTCCAAGTCCTTCTCTGTCTCTTCATCACTTCTAGGAGCAGGTGCTGTCTCAGTCTCTGTTCGTTCTTCCTCTTTTTCACTCTTGTTGTCCTCATCTTGTATGTCTGCATGTGTGTCGCTGACTTTCAGACCTTCGAGTTCCTGCATTGCATGCTTATATTCCTCCATGTTGACGCTGTCTTCTTCTTCTTCTACTTCCTCGTCTGTTGCCTCTGCATCATCGCTCTCCCCCTCGTCATCTTCCTCTCCCTCAGGTCCAGCTGGGTGTAGCAATGCACCATCTCTCTCCAGGTCTCTGGTGAAGCCGCTAGCTGAGACTTCGACATCTAGAGAGCAAGTCCGCCTGTAGAAATAACAGTGACACCAAATCATATCTTTAAATTAATGTAGTAAAGCAAGACAATTAACAATGCAAAATGTCATTTTTCTAAATGTTGGGACAAATACTGAACAAAGTAAATAAAATAAGAAACAGAGAAGACAATGTGAGAAGTTTTTCCATGGTTACACAAAAAAGTTTACTGTATGTATTTAAAACATAATTTTCATTATACTTCAGGGGTTTTATCATAACTAAAACTGATTCATTTGAGCAGTTACCTGATGTCTTTAAAGGTTGGGTAGAGCTCGCTCTCGTAATTGTATCGTTTTGCAAAGAAATCTCTGATACACTTCACATCTCTGTCAAAATACCTATAAACAAAGTTTGGAAAAGTGAGCAACAGTTAAATCGTTTTGTTTGCTTTATACATTTTTAGCTGTTCAGTCATTTTCAATTTTATTACAGAGACACCAACCATTCAGCATTAGCATGTGAGGTGGACACCATTTGAGGGAAGTCAATCATAGTTATGTGGTCCTGGTCATCCAACATAAGGTTGAACTCGTTAAAGTCTCCATGAATCAGGCCATGATTGGCCAGTTTAACGATGAGCTCCATGAACTCATTGTATAGGGATGGTGGATCCTGCAGCTCATGCACCTGACACCTGAGAGAAAGACAATATTAAAATGACAAATAATAAAAGGAACAAAGAGTAGGAAGCATGTACTATTACTAGTGTTATATATTAAGCAAGAAAGATTGATGGCTTCTTTACATACAGTGGATATCCATTGATGAGCTCCATCACTACAGCATGTCGGTTATAGTCCACAGGTTTGGGAACTGGAAAGCCTCGATCATACAATACCTGAAAAATTAGGAGGTGACTCAAAACATGCACCACAAAAAACTGGATTCCTACAGAACATCTTGTGAATTGCTGGTGACATTTTCTTTCTATTCCACATTACTTAATACTTTCTGTGATTCGTTCCATTACCTTCATGTAGGCAAACTCCTTCATGGCAGAAAGGCGAGAGAGGTACAGCCAGGACATGTTCTTTCTGTGTTTGTGGTAATCCCTCTTGTTCTTCAAGTTCCTGAAGGAGGTGCGACCCAATCTGTGAAGCTTCAGAGCGTACTGCTCCCCGTTTGGACTTGCAACGATGTATATATCTACAGGAGTTGAAAACAAATAAGTATTTGTATGAACAAGAGTGGATGAGTTTCTAGCAGCCTGGAAACCTGACAGAGAACAGATGCCATTGACATCAACACCTAGGGAATCGGTCCACAGTTCGTTCCTGCTGAGTTAAGCTATGTTTTTTTGAAACACTACAGTTAAATAACACTTCTTAGGATGTCTTTATGGCTATGGATACAGTTGGGTCCGAACTCTGCACTTTTAAGGGGGCTGACCAAATTACTCTGGTACCACTGAGTACTTACTCACATTAGATCAATTAGTGTCAAATGTCAGTACTTTGAGAATGGGTCGTGTTGTGAATTCAAAGAAATCTTGATGAAATTCGTTATGAGGCTCTAGAAAAATCCCACCTAGTTTATCAACACACGGGCGTCTGAAATGTCTCTGCAATATTCTTGTATTTACTTTCAGATCAGCCTTTTTCTACCGTCAACGAGTTCGCGGAGCTCCATAATCAGTGCTATTCTTCAATAAAAACAAATCGACACAAAATCATCTGAGGATATTTGGACCTATTTGTACAGTGTATCAGTTTGAAATACTGCATAGAGGAACAATACAAGCAGAAACAGCCACAGTGAGTTGTTTGATAAAGAGCTGAAGACGACAGGCTCTTTCAGCAAACAGCACACCTCCAACAGGTAGCCTAAATAACTTATTATAACTTATTATTAATTTTTTATTGTTCTTTCAAGTTACACAACTAAATGTTCTAAATAAATAATGTTGAAATGGAGAGGTATGGACTACATTATGTATTACTGTTTTCTTACCTGACTCTTTCCCCACACCCATCTGGTTGCCAACAGAAATGACCACTTCTCTGGCGCACAAGGTCTTCAGAGCCAAGTAGTCATATCCTCCATAGTTCAGCCTGTAACCCTGCACAGCTGAAATACACACACACACACGTCAGATTAAAAAAATAAACCTACATGTCCCATCTCTACCAGGACTGGTGCAAGCATTCCTGAGAGTTTTCTTACTCTTTGTGCGTTCATAGACCACGAGTTTGTGTTTGACAAGCTCTCGGAGGACCTTGTTGCAGCCGCCGTGTTTGAGGCTAGCGATGGAGGATACAAGACTCACTGGAACAATCTCATGGTTCTTCATCCCCATTTCAACCTGTGTGAGGGGAAGTGCACAGGAAGAAACATAGAAGAGTGCTGGCAGTGTTACAACGGCTGCAGAGATGAAAGATAAACTGACATGAAATTAACACTAGGGTCTGGGATTGTGGTTCTATTGACGATATCACATTGAACAGGTATTCCACTGCTGTTACATATGAGGGTCAGTTTATTGGTCCTGTAGGAGGCACTAACGTTATTTTACCCACAGCAACCACAACATATAATAAAGCAACTGTTGATAAGCTGCGGAGAACACTGGTTGATATATGTACTTGATGTAACGTTAGCTCACGCTGTGTTGTGCTGCTATTATTATAACAAACCGACCAAAGCTAGCCTAGCACAGGCTAACTCAGCTGGGACAGAACAGCTAACGTTAGCTCGCTACTTACTGCTGTGAGGACCCGGAAGTCATCTCGAGTTAAGTATCTCAACACCACGACGTTCAGCTTCCCCATGTTTCAACCGGTTAGTTTGTTTATTATTACTGTTACTTCTTAAGCTCGGTTGTTGGCATTTTCAGTAAACACACGTGCAGGCGGATGGTTGAGGAACGGAGAAAGCGTCACTTCAGGTTTACGCTTGACGTCATCTAGACGTGTACCCGGAACACAACCACAACCCACACTATTTTGCACAACCTATGTTAAGAAAGTCTGAGAGTAGACTATTAATAAAATGATTTCAGTAATATTAATTAATATATATATAACATCATGTATGCAGTAGTGCAACATTTATTATCACCTTGTGGCGAAGGGCTGAAATGCAGGAGATATTTTCAACACAACATAGACATTTTAACTTGACATACACAAGTGTAACTGATCACATGATTAATTTCATTAATTACTGGAGCCATAATGTATTCCACCTGTGCTTTCCTGCTATGCCTGCTGTTAAAAAGGTCTGTTGTGCTTTGTCCCCAATGTCATTCTACAAACTAATTTCTACAGTGCCTACAGTTTGTAGTATAGCTACAATAAAATCCACTTACCAATGTGTACTAACAGAACCACAATACAAAACAACATGTGCACTGACCAATGTCAAGCAATCTGTGTATTAGGAATGCCACTGCCAAGAGATTTACAGTAATAATAATGTTTTTTTTCCTTTTCCTCAACTTTCAAAACCTTTCTTGTTTCACCACCAGCATGTTATACATGTTGTGCATCTGTGAACAATACCATTTAATCACATTATGGGACAACAGTGTTAATGAACACCCCCCACAAAAATGAAGTCATTTAGTTTACATACTGACTTTTTTTTGTCACTTTTTGAATGTGAACACACAACATTTTTAAAACCGTCAAAGCATTTCTGTGTTGTATGGAACAGCTGCAGTCAAATATTAAAGCCACTTTCCATTGTACACCCACAGAGGTGTTTTCACTAGTTGTCTGATTAGACCTCTTCTCAGTACTGTGTTGGTGTGTATTAAACTGTGCTTGACTGACATCTAAAGTACCTCACTCTCTTCATGTTGCACCAGTTGCGGTGGGGCAATGTAATCTTTTATGTGAGAGCATATATTTAGGTGACATTAGGTAATTCTCCACATAGCATCAACCAACTGCAACCTGAGCAGAGATCTAATCAGCCAGATTAACTGAAAACACCTCTGTGATGGGCAGAGCTGTTTTAATCAAAAACACTACTTCACTAGCCAGATATGTCAGAAAATGTGGATAAAATTACTGGTTAACAGTGGAATAGTTTTCACATTTTCACAGTGGACATTTTGACATGTCACAGTAGGACAGCAGAGGTGTAAATAATAAAATGATGGCTCCATTTAGCTGCTTTAGTTTCAGACTCCTAGAATTGTGCATGCTAGCTCACTGACACACAACCATTGTTAATGTTATTAGTAACACTGGTGCTTTTCCTACTATGACAAAAAGTCACAAAGTCTGCTGTGAGAAAGGCCTATTATAAGTGTAAGTTCCAGCTGGGTTCCTGTTCTGCCCAATTCATGGTAAGCAACATGAAATTACAAGGAAATTACTAAAAATGTGTGTTTTGTAAACTAAATAACTGAATAAACAGATAAATTACTTGTAATTTATAAGTACGGGTTGTTGGCTGCAGGCAGAGTCACAAGTCACAGTGGGATAATCACAGGTGTCAATAATGTAATTAATGTTGGATGAATTCCATGTAGTTGCTTCAGTTTCATGGTCCTTGCATTGTGCATGCTGGCTTACTGCCACACTGTCATGACTTACATGCCTCACATGAACAGAACTAGTAATTAGTAATACCTGTGCTTTTGCTACTATAACAAGTCTGCTGTGAAAAAGTATTGTGGATCCAAATGTGTTGTGGAGTGTATACGATATTTGGGTGTGTTGCGTGGATGTTTGGATATGTTCTATACCTATTGCTATTTATTGTGAAAGTACTGGATACTATTTATTTTATGGTGTGTTGATTTATTGTGTAGTTTTGTAATCAGGATAGATCAGCAGTACTGTGAGTCCAATATGAGTATCCCTTCCGGGACAATAATGTAAACCCTATCGCATCATAAAAAAAATAAAAAAGTGATGTTACAAGGAAACACTGCATCATCCCAGTGAAATTTGAATGTCAGATGTGTGTGTGTGTGAGAGATGGAGACAGCTACACTTTCTCACCTCTTGTCCTAAATATAAAACCCGAGTTCAAATTATAATCAGAAACTCCCCTACTTACTGAGGGAAATGCATAAATGCCAAATCATTGCAGCAAAATGTATCTCCTCATGCCACGAACTGAGAACAACCAGTAGAAACTCTACTACTAGACTAGACTAATAAATAAACTAAATAATTGTACAAGGTAAATTTATTTGTCACAATACAACAGGTTGTAGAATGAAATTGAGTTGTAACTCCCTTCTGCTACGTAGCAAATAAAATACATTACCATAAAAGCAAATACAAAAACAGTAAACAGAAAAAAATCTATAGTCAGTGAAGCAGTGCTGAGGATGAATATGAGTTTAAAAGAAAGCACACCATCTTTTCAATGTAAGATTTAGTTTGTAGTAATTTTATCTGTCTTTCTTTTGTTTTTTAAATGTCATTTTATTGTTTATTATTTATATAAAAATTTGTTTTATTGTTTATATGTGAATTTGTGCTTTGGCAACGTTGTTTACCTAAACGTTTATGGCAATAAAGCTAACTGAAATGATATGAAATGAGAGAGAGAGAGGGAGAGAGTTAAACAGAGATTTACTGGTAGGTTTCTGTTGCCATAGCAGCTGGATTCTGTGCATTCCACCAGCAGGTAGGTTCTAAACAGTGTGTGCGTGTGCGTGTGTGAGCGTGTGTGTGTGTGAGCGTGTGCGTGTGCGTGTGTGTGTGTGTGTGTTTACTCAGGACAGCCCTGTGACAGACACCACTCTGTTCTGCTCCCAGCACTCATGCACACACACACACACGCACACGTAGAGCGAGCACTCCACTTCCACAGGCTGTGTTGACTCAGTGGAATTCCTCCATTGGTTTATTTAACATTCTGTGGTTTAGCAAGTGCCTGCGTCCAAAGACAGGCCAGGCCTGAAGTGTGTGTGTGTGTGTGTGTGTGTTAGTGTGTGTGCATGTGTGTGTGTGTGTGCAACTAAACAACATGTGCACACATTTTTTGCAAGTTTTGTGTAATATTACTGCAGAGCCTCCAATTGATTTGGCTCATTTATTAGTAATCAAGTTACTCCACAACATCGGAAGACAAATGTGTGCAGAAAGTGAGAAAATGAGCTCTGTGTGAGTCACTGTGTGTCTGTAAGTGCTCTGCAGGTCTCATGAATGTTTGTTTCAAACAGTTATTCACACTCTGGGCACTGCGTCATGCTTGTTTTCTGTGTCTATGACCACTCAGTGCTACTGTCTGTTAACTTGTGTCACTCTGGTGTGCTGTATGCATTAACAGCTCCAGCAGGTGTGTCTTGGGAGGTAAAATATACATCCGTAGCCTACTTTATATACATGTTACAGAAAGCCAGCGTTGGCAGTGACACATTACAATACAATGCAGTCTAATACAACACCACCACAAACTAGCCCTCAAAATGACCACAGAGTCAAAGTAGCATGTTTCTAACACAGCTTCTACAAGAATTTAACATCGGAAAACTTACTATGTTAGTATGTATTACAGGGCTATTGCAGTAGCCTATGGATTAGGTTTTACACAGCTCCACCCCACTGTATAATGTAGCACTGAAAAACTTTAGGGGCAAATGACTTTAAAAATTTCTTTGCAATTCTTCATTTGGGAGCTAGATGGCACTGTGACACAGGTGGATTGCTGTAGCTGCCAAGCTGCTGTCTTTTGTCTCAGAGACCATTGTTATCTCTGGTTTAAGTCAAGTGCTTAAAACAGAAAAATCTTCCTCCTGTATCTGCACCTGGCCTTTTGTCTGAACTAAAGTGTCTTTGTGATATCAGGCAGACATGGTTTTTCAGACAGGGTCAGGTTGAGTGCAAGAGGGCAGTATTATTGATTGTTCCGTGTTGAACACTGAACCCCTGGATTTGTTATTTCACCATGTTGCTCTGTCCCATATTGTCAAAAACTATCATAGACGTGTTCAGCTGAAGATCTTCACTGCAATTCCCCTATTGACTCTGAAGCATGATGATGATAACATTTAATTTACCATTTCAATAGATGCAATCAAATTAGCAGACAACACCAAGTCCGTCATGCTTTCAAAAGCAATGAGATATATGGGAAGAATGAACAATGAGTATACCGTATGCTACTTATTATTCTGCAGTCTTTATCAAAGATTTTTTTTTATTCTTAATAGGATACTTCATGAAAGTCATTGGACGCACATTTCTGTGTTTTAACCACATACATATTTTCCTATTCACCTCGTCTCTATTCTTCTAACTCCTCATTCCATGCTGAAGGCAAATGGGAGCACATGATAACACTCTATCTTAAATGGATAACAGTAATAATAGACCAACTCTGATTCTGATTAGATTATCAAATCATATCATCCCGTAACTCAGTTTCTCGTAGGAATTCTTTTAATATTCTACTGCTACAATAGCATGAATACTTTTAAATTAGGTTTTAATGTTTTAGAGTCTAGGTAGTAGTCTGTAGAGATATGAGTGATTCGGCTGATAGTCTGGATATGTTTTTTGCTGATAAAACTTGTGGTTTGCTCCACTGGCTCTCAGCAGCTGCAGATTGAGAGCCTTAAGGCAGAATCTCTTGTTAAACAGCCTATGACAGACAGGCGCAGTCGTCTGTTTCACTGAGTCTGGACAGTTACACACAAGCACAGACCAGAGTGACCGATGGTGTGTTAGTCGAGCTGGGCCAGGAGTGTAGAGGGAGAGTGTGGACCTGTCTGTGTGAGTGGAATTATCTGGAACGTGGCGGAACGGCCATTCCTGCGTGCCCGTGCACACAAGCACACACACACACACACACGTTCACTAACACATGGTGAGATTTTATCTTCTTTCCAGATGTGTGCGAGGAAACTTTTTGCCGTGCTTCAACACAAAGAAGCTCTCTATCCAGTCTTCTTATCACTCCATATTGCCTAT